GATTTTGTTCATATTTTATATGTGAATACTATAAGCATGGCACACTGTCTAATGACGCTTTGGGTAGTAGGCGACCATTTTGAAAAATGCCGACCATTTTTACATTTTTTACTATAACTCAAAAAGGAGTAGAGCGATTTTGTTCATATTTTATATGTGAATACTATAAGCATGGCACACTGTCTAATGACACTTTGGGTAGTAGGCGACCATTTTGAAAAATGGCGACCATTTTTACATTTTTTACTATAACTCAAAAAGTAGTAGAGCGATTTTGTTCATATTTTATATGTGAATACTATAAGCATGGCACACTGTCTAATGACACTTTGGGTAGTAGGCAACCATTTTGAAAAATGGTGACCATTTTTACATTTTTTACTATAACTCAAAAAGTAGTAGAGCGATTTTGTTCATATTTTATATGTGAATACTATAAGCATGGCACACTGTCTAATGACGCTTTGGGTAGTAGGCGACCATTTTGAAAAATGGCGACCATTTTTACATTTTTTACTATAACTCAAAAAGTAGTAGAGCAATTTTGTTCATATTTTATATGTGAATACTATAAGCATGGCACACTGTCAAATGACACTTTGGGTAAAAGGCAGCCATTTTTCAAAATGACCACCATTTTTTACTCTTTTTATTCTTACTCGAAAAGTAATGGAGCCATTTTGTTATTGGTTATGGGGAAGAGGGTTTGCACCCATCGTGCCTCCCCCCCCCCCCCCGCCACACCAATGATCTAATACAAATGGTCACCCAAATACTTGAATTGGTGATTATTCTGATATACATGTAACATTTTAATGTTTTTTTTTATATTTGCAAATCAAGGGTAAGGTAGATGATAAATATTATGTTGTGGCATACAGATTCATGAATTTAGTGTTCTTTGGCATTTGCTGCGCTATGGAGTTTGCATATTTCTAGTACTTTATTCAATTTACTGGACATAAGTGAATGATAAATGAACAAAAGGCACAATACAGAAAAGAAAATAATTTAAATATTATTTGCTTATTTCAGGATGTATGGCATGGGTAATCAGCATGTCAAAAACATATAGATAGAATATGGTGGAATAACAGCAGGGAATAGATGGAAAAACAGATTGCATGTGGAATTGCCACAATACTTCACCGGTATTTATCGTGAAGAACAACTTTTATTTAATTCACTGGAAGGAGCTGTTGACATATGAACAATTAGGATGATAAATGATATGGAGGGCTTGAGGAATGACCACATTACTTCACCAGTGTTTATATACATATATATTAGCTTATTAAAAAATAAAAAGACATATGCAACATTAACAATAGGCATAATATATGATACAGGATGGCACACAAGGATTTATGTACATACTGCAAATCATATTCAAGGATATTTAAATGATACCAGATGGAATGATGATTTGTGACAGTTGTGATTCTTATAGACCATGATGTGAGTCAACTCTGGAGATGCCCCCCCCCCTCACACACAAACAATAGCATTTTGAATCAAGTGTGTACATGCCACCCCTCCCAATAAACTTTAGCAACATTTCAAAGATAAAAGACTGATGTTGATATAATTCAGTACAAAGATGAAAAATGGAATTTTTTGCAAGGGTTAATATAGTATGGTAATTACATAGAGATACATGTATGTGATGGCTTGATAGCATATACTTTGATCAGCATTAGTCAAGTTTTGAAATCACTTTATCCCGCAGCAAATTTTTTTACCAAGCGCTGGTACGGGACAGTGGGTTTGAAAACCTGACTGTCCCGTAGCTCAGTGCTACAAAGTGCTCATACGGGATAAAGGTGTTTGACTTCGTGAATATCCCGCGAGCCCTATAAAATTACGTGACAGTGTAACTTCGATTCATCATATCCCGATCTGTGAAAAACATTTGTCGTGATCGGGACTAAAAATCAGATCTGATATTTTGTTCGTTGGGATTTGCTACTCCGCGGAGTTGCCATTATCTAGTTGTTCATGAAAAATCTTAAATATCAGTTAGTGGATTGGGTCCAAATTTGATAGGTTTTAAATTATCATACAGGCATCGGACCTCTGCTTTATAAGACCAATATGGCTTAAATCAATATGTTTTGTTCGGTAAAATTTGCCACATAACATTGGGAGATGTTGTTTCTAAATTTTAATGAATTCAAAACAAAAACAGAAATTGGTGATACAACAACCAAAGCATCAATATACAACAATAAAGTATGAAGCACAAGTCTAAACTATTTATAACACGTGTCAAGAGCCAATAAACATGTTGGAGAGTATATTTTAAGAAACATTTTTAGATCATTAAAAATTTCTGTACCAGGTTCAAATGATTTATTGTTTACTTTCAAGTTTTGAAGTGGTTTATCTGACATTGAATGCGCATTACTGAGAAAATGAAATCAACACAAACACGCACACGCCTAACCATTGACAAGATACAGTGACAAAATATACCGTAGTTCACTTTAGATGTGCGGTGTCACTATTAACCGATTTGAAGCAAAGACAATGATGCAGGTGTGATGTAGGTTTTAAAAAATTAATCTTGGGAATACTTGAAAGATTTCATGTTTAATTTTGGCTGTATTCGTTTCGGAAGACATATAACTTTCTAATAACGTTAAAAGATTTTCGAACAGTGCTCGATTTTTTTCATAGTCAATCTACCCACGAAAATTGATCGGTTGGAAAATGTTGGGTTTTTCACATTTCCTTTGATCATTTATTCCCCTGTTGCCTAAGAGCGTTGATTATTTTTATGAGAATATGTTTCTCTATACTTCACAATTCATGACTGGTGGAGATTAATAGATATTCAAGTATTTAATGTAATTTAAAAAAATCAGAAATGTGCATTGTCAACTCGAATGTACGGTGTCCCTGTAATTGAAATTCATGAGATATATGTTATATTTAGCAATGTAATGATTTCATTTCAAAATTCATTGAGGGTTTTATGAGTAACAAGTGTTCAAGTTTCCTTTTTGCTTTCTCATTTTATGAAAGTATTGTTGTGGTGCTGGTTAATTTGTGCCCATTTGGTGTTAGCTTCCAGCCCAAACTCCCATCCAGTGTCTCGGAATAGAATATGTTGAAGACTAGCACTGCCACAGAGTCTGCTTCCAGCCTGTTTGATTATTTGTCGTCTGTACCTTACGTTTTGTTAGATACATTGATAGATAGATCTACAGATCTAAACTGGCTTATTGGATATGACTTTTTAAAATCCCGTTTATGATATATCTGGAAAGTTTCAATAGTTCAATCAAATTGAAGTAATTCTGTAATTGTTCTGTTTCAATTTTAAATGCATCTGCGTCTGCGTCTGTTAGTGTTATGTAAAATACGTTGTCTGCATTAGGGTTAACTGTGAATTGAGTAAGTTCAATGGGACAACGTACATCTGAGTTGACAACGTTCACTTATGATTTTTTAAATTATAGCCAAAATGTTAATACTTATTAAATCTTCAACAGACCTTAAATGTGCTGTTTCAAGAAACATATTCTCATTAAAATCTTCGACACTCTTAAACGACAGGGGGGGGAATTATCAAAGGAGATGTGTAAAAACACAACATTTTCCAACCGACCAATTATATGGGTAGATTGACTGCGAAAAAATCTAGCACTGTTCGAAAATCTTTTAACGTTATTGGAAAGTTAAATGTCTTCCTAAACGCATACACAAAAAATCAAACATGAAATCCTTAAGGCATTCCTCAGATTATTTTTTAAAACTTACATCAAACCTACATCATTATCCCACCGAACGAAGTTCGAGGGGGATATAGAAAAGCCGCCCGTCCGTTCGTCCGTCCGTCCGTCCGTTCGTTCGTGTGTCCGGGCAATAACTCAAATACCGGTTGACGGATTTCATTCAAATTTTATAGGCTTATGCCTTATGGGTGTAGGACCTCTGCTCGAGAAGGAATTTTCAATATGGCCACTAAATTCAAAATGGCGGCCATTTTTCGGAAAAAAATATAATCTTTGATTACTCAAATACTAGTGAATGGATTTGGTTCAAATTTTATATGCTGTTGCCCAGGTACAAAGGAGCCTTGCTGAAGAAGACATTTTCAAGATGGCCACCATATTTCAAAATGGCGGCCATTTTTTGTAAAAAAACGTTATCTTTGGTAACTCAGGTACCATTGAATGGATTTGGATCAAATTTTATATGCTGTTGCCTGCGTACAAGGGAGCCTTGCTCAAGAAGACATTTTCAAGATGGACACCATATTTCAAAATGGCGGCCATTTTCCGTAAAAAACGTTATCTTTGATAGCCTTTGGACATAGGAGCTCTGCTAAAGGAGAAATCTAAAGATGACAGCTGAATTTCAAAATGGCAACCATGTTTCAAATTTTATATGGCCGCTATTTACCAAAACATGTTTTGTTCGGTGGGATTTGCTACTCCGTGGAGTTGCTGTTTTTCTAGTTGTCTTTGCTTCAAATCGGTTAAATAGTGGCATCGTACATCTAAAGTGTACTCTGGTATATTTTGTCACTGCACCTTGTCGATGGTTAGGCGTGACAAATAAGCAATTGAAATACAATACACAACAAATAAAAAACATTTTGAGAGATAACACAACTATAGATAAGGCAAAATCATTGAATTCATAGATTACAGGATAATTTTTAAACATGATTTTCCTGTCATTGCCAATCTCAAAATTATCTGCAGTCTGTATTAGTCATAATCTTCACAAGCTAGTATACCATATCCTATCCCTCCTCTTGGATAACCTGCAGTATATATATGTTATTTTTACTAGAACCTAACTACATGTACATTATAGTCATCCATGTACATATATAATTTACTGCATACATTTTGAATGCTGTATTCTCCCCAGGATATCATATCATACCCTAATATAAAAGAAGTCCACTGTTGTTACTATTTACTATTATTCTCCCCTAGGATACCATTTTATCCCTAATATAAGATAATTCTTTATACTTGTAGAAACCTAGCTATAGGGATAGGCATACAGAACTTCCCAGAGGGTCTAGCAGTTAGTCTTCCACTCAGGGCATCAGGAATGTCAATGTTAAAAAGTTTTTGGTAAGTGAGATTTTTACTGAACTGAAATGAACTTGGCGTATATGGCTCCAAAAGCATATATCCAACAAGAAAATTCATGTTTGAAAAATAATGCATTGGAAAGATGTATGCGTATATGGAAATATGTATACATTTGTCAGGACTTCACATATTGTACTCCGTTTTCTTGGTATCTCCTTAGAAACAGTTGGTATGGTGATAACATGTTACCTAATGTTCATGTTCTCTAGGTATGGTCAGTTAAGTGGTATGGTAGAACCAGTTGCCGGCATATTTGGTGCCCTGGCGGTGGTGATAGCCGAACCAATCCTTCCATATGCTCTCGCTTTCGCAGCTGGGGCCATGATCTACGTCGTATTTGATGACATCATTCCCGAAGCTCAGATATGGTAAGTTAATATGAAATGTGTCTACTGTTACCATGGTTTATATGCTATAATAAGATTGAATCTAGAATTAAGTGAACAAGAATCATGATCAGGTTTCATCAAAATGTGATTGAAAAAATGATTTGCTCAAATGGATGACCACAGATCACTGATGTGTTCAAAAATAGTAAATGTGTAATAAAGATTTCTTCTTACTCATAATTATTTCAGCTATCATCTTTGGTCAATTGCTATATTTTTAATATATTTTTACCATTAATGTAACTTATTCCAGGACTAATGGCCACTAGCCTTTAATCAAATGTACTTATTTTGAATTTTGACATTTTATTTCAGTGGAAATGGCAAGCTAGCATCTCTTGGAGGCATAGTTGGCTTTATCGTGATGATGTCATTAGATGTTGGTCTCGGTTAATGTTGGCCAAAAACTGTAGCTGAATTTTAAAGTGAGTGATTTCTATTATCATAAGTGTAGGTGGCTAATTGCATTGTTCAGCTCATGTGAATTTTTCTTGATTTGAAATTTTATTCCATTCTTTTTATACTGATCCTGACTGCATATTTGTAAAGTTGTCAAAATATCCCAACTTTTATGACATCCACTGCATGCTAAAGGATCTTCTTTACTATCAATCACATACAAGTAGTAGGTACTTTGTAAGAAGTTAAAAATAAACTAAAGTCCCATTCAAACATAAATATGCTTTTACATATGATTCATTAGGGACATGAGCTTGCCAGACCTTCGGAGTGAAGTTATTCACGATTCTCCTGGTGTAATATCTAGTGCATATTGCCACATTTAGATGTCTCTAGTATCAAGTTACTAAGCTGGAATATTGTATTCCATTCAATATGTATTGGGTTTACATAATCAGCTTAATCTTATGTTGGATCAATAACCTAATGTAACCTTGGAGATACCCAATGGTGAAATTATGATGATCACATTTTAAAATGCAAAACAGAGAAAAAAAGAAATAATGAACAAATTGAATAAACATGCATCAAGCAAAAAGACTAAATTGTTCAGACGTTAGATAGAATTCTGAAGTTCATATAAGGTATTGTGGGATATCTCAGGAAAATATCAATTAATGTGAGATTTCAAATGGCGGTGGTCATTTCACGATATAGAGCTCTAATCAAGGTGGAGAATAGATTAACCCCTTTATATTATATGTTCATGGAAACTGACAGAACGAAATAATATATCCTCCAAGGTCGGTCATTACAGCTATTATAGAACAATAGGTTTACTACTTTGTAATAGTATACTGTACTGAACAATGATTCAAAATGTTTCAGTTTTTATAGCCTATTTCCTGTTCCCTATAATTACACTTCCTCTATAAATCTTTATATAATCTGGATATGTTTGATTTTTTTCCTAAATATATATGCAAGTGTGATTATGCTTTGTTTTATATTATATTAGCTTTTAAAGTTAAATTAATTATGCATTTTCCTTATTTGTTAAGTCTAAGGTAAATCAATGTTTGTGAACATCTCATTATTTAAAATCTGGTAAACACCTCTCTCTGATAAATACCTCTCCCTAGTGAACACCTTACTAGTAAACATCTTTCTCGTAAACACCTCTCTCGTAAACATCTCTCTCATAAACACTTCTCTCCAGTGAACATCTCACTAGTGAAGGCATCTTTGTCACAAACAGATTCTTCTAGCTAAAATGTCTCACTGGTTAAATTAATTGTTTAGCGGGTAGTGACTATACAGACACACAAGTATACATGTATATTGGCATAAAACTTCACATGTCTGTAGTGATAGTAAACAAGTCATTGAACCAGAAAATCATTTCACAGATTTTGGTTGTGACTTACAATATATGGAACACCAGTGAGGCCAAATGGAGCTCTATCATATAATATATAAGATCTTTAGTGCCAATTCTTCAGTCCTTATGGAATATAAGAGAGGTATTTAATCCTCTACTGATTGTACATCAAAAAAATTATGAATCATAGAAAAAGCATGATTTGTATAATGAAGGGGAGGGGTTCAAATGTGGTTATATTTGGTTTATTCTAGTTACAGAAATTGTAGTTATTGAAATGATCTCTGTTATAATTTATCAATCAAGCGTGAACACTTATAAGATTGTTCATTTAGGCTAAGATCACATGTAGCTCCCTTTACCTATTATATGCCTATATATAAAACTCTAGATGTTTCTCTTTGGAATTGTGCATGTAATGAAGAGAAAATGCCACATTTTATTTAGTTTTCTCCTATTGTAATATGAAACATATGTTACCATTCAAGGTTAATTCCTCTGCAAGCATGCAATTGAGCCTTATTAGGGAATTGGTCAAAGTATAGATGAATACAACAAGCGTAATGAAGTACATATGGGAGAGGTGGGTGGGTAAAGGTCTATTACATTTAGTTAGAAAACATTGATTTTTAAAAGGAACCATCTTTCAATTTGAGAGAAATCGATGAAAGTTAAGTTACACTCAATTTGAAGAAAGGGTTCAATCTAAAAGTAAATGTTCTTGTTTTGAGACAACATTGAAATGTTGACCTGGTCCCTATGTATTAATTGATTGGCTTGGATTCTTGCTAAAATGATTTTGAAGTATATATTGATACAACATCTAATGTTTCTGAAGGGTTTGAAAAGCACAGGTCATGTATTTGGACATGTGGATTGGAAATATTATACAAACTTTATTCAATATTATAAATATGTGTACATGAATAACAAGTACAACATGATTTGAAATATTTCTAATTAATTTGTTTCCCTGTGTAGAATAATCCAAGGCATGGTTAGCCTGTATTGCAACCTATTTGTTGCTGTCCCTGTATTACAGCCCCTTTGGTACAGCCTCTGTGTTACAGAATCTTTTTTACAGCTTCTGCATTAAAGTCTCTCTGTTACTGACTTTGTGTTACAGCCCCTTATAACCCATTTGTTACAAGCCACTGTATTACATTCCCTTTGTTACAGCCCCTTATAACCCATTTGTTACAACTCATTTTTTACAAGCCCCTGTATTATATTCCCTTTGTTACAGCTCCTGTATTACATTCCCTTTGTTACAGCTACTGTATTACATTCCCTTTGTTACAGCTCCTGTATTACATTCCCTTTGTTACAGCTCCTGTATTATATTCCCTTTGTTACAGCCCCTGTATTACAGTCCCTTTGTTACAGCTCCTGTATTATATTCCCTTTGTTACAGCTCCTGTATTACATTCCCTTTGTTACAGCTACTGTATTACATTCCCTTTGTTACAGCTCCTGTATTACATTCCCTTTGTTACAGCTCCTGTATTATATTCCCTTTGTTACAGCTCCTGTATTACAGTCCCTTTGTTACAGCTCCTGTATTATATTCCCTTTGTTACAGCTCCTGTATTACATTCCCTTTGTTACAGCTACTGTATTATATTCCCTTTGTTACAGCTCCTGTATTATATTCCCTTTGTTACAGCTACTGTATTACATTCCCTTTGTTACAGCTCCTGTATTACATTCCCTTTGTTACAGCTCCTGTATTACATTCCCTTTGTTACAGCTCCTGTATTACATTCCCTTTGTTACAGCTCCTGTATTACATTCCCTTTGTTACAGCTCCTGTATTACATTCCCTTTGTTACAGCTCCTGTATTATATTCCCTTTGTTACAGCCCCTGTATTACAGTCCCTTTGTTACAGCCCCTGTATTACAGTCCCTTTGTTACAGCTCCTGTATTATATTCCCTTTGTTACAGCTCCTGTATTACATTCCCTTTGTTACAGCTACTGTATTACATTCCCTTTGTTACAGCTCCTGTATTATATTCCCTTTGTTACAGCTCCTGTATTACATTCCCTTTGTTACAGCTACTGTATTATATTCCCTTTGTTACAGCCCCTGTATTACATTCCCTTTGTTACAGCTCCTGTATTACATTCCCTTTGTTACAGCTCCTGTATTATATTCCCTTTGTTACAGCCCCTGTATTACAGTCCCTTTGTTACAGCTCCTGTATTATATTCCCTTTGTTACAGCTCCTGTATTACATTCCCTTTGTTACAGCTACTGTATTACATTCCCTTTGTTACAGCTCCTGTATTACAGTCCCTTTGTTACAGCTCCTGTATTATATTCCCTTTGTTACAGCTCCTGTATTACATTCCCTTTGTTACAGCTCCTGTATTACATTCCCTTTGTTACAGCTCCTGTATTACATTCCCTTTGTTACAGCTCCTGTATTATATTCCCTTTGTTTCAGCCCCTGTATTACAGTCCCTTTGTTACAGCTCCTGTATTACATTCCCTTTGTTACAGCTCCTGTATTACATTCCCTTTGTTACAGCTCCTGTATTACATTCCCTTTGTTACAGCTCCTGTATTACATTCCCTTTGTTACAGCTCCTGTATTATATTCCCTTTGTTACAGCTCCTGTATTATATTCCCTTTGTTACAGCTCCTGTATTGTATTCCCTTTGTTACAGCTCCTGTATTACATTTCCTTTGTTACAGCTCCTGTATTACAGTCCCTTTGTTACAGCTCCTGTATTATATTCCCTTTGTTACAGCCCCTGTATTACAGTCCCTTTGTTACTGCCCCTGTGTTTACCCATTTGTTGCAACCCCTTTGTTACTGCCCCTGTGCTACAAGCCCTTTATAAGGCATATGTTTTACAGTAATATGTCACACTTTATGTAATTGATTTCATTCAGTGGGTTGTAAATGGCTGTTTCATTCACTAATGTGTGAACTTTTTTAGATTATTGTTTTTATATAGTAGCAAAATAGTCAAAGGAACTCATGGGAAAAATACAAAGGTGACAATGCTTATGAATATAGTAAATTAAAGTATTAATATACTTGCAGTAGATTATTTTATTTTTCTCAATTACTGATTGTATAACAAGCTCAAAGAAACAAAACGTCATGAGTAACATCTGGATTTTTATGAAGTTACAGATGTCAAAAGATTTATGAACATGTTCTGTTCATGAAAACCAAGATAAGACACAATAAAGAGGATAAGTAAAATGTTAGTTTGTGATGGGAATGAATAATAAAGCCACCTAACTGTAATAGAAAGTTTTTAATTTTAGATTTTTTTGTTAGGTGGTAGCCAACTATAGGGTTGGCTGACTGTACTCCTTTATCAACAGAAGATGCCTCTTTCGCTCTAGTGTAGAGTAGGAGACACTAGTTTAATTAAATTCAATTAGGTGTTGAGACATGTAAAGTATGTTGCATCCACTTGTCCCTAAAAGTGTTCACAAAACTTGTTACTAACAGTATATTAATCAAAGTGAAGTGTTTACACAACAACCCCAAGTGTTAAGGTTTACATGGTCAGTAAAAGCCTTGCCAAAGTCCAACTTTACATGCTTCATACTTGTGCTGCTTTTCTTGAAAATTCAATTTTGAGAAACTTTAAGGTAATATTTACATTTTTGGCATTTTGTGCAATTTTGAGTTCTATTGAATTAGAGCCCCTTGAAAATTTAGAGCTCCTCTGAAAGATTAGATTCCCTTACATAAGAATGTATCCCACACCTTTTCTACGTGTAGAACCAGTACTAAATAAAATCCTATTATTTATACCATCAGGATAATTGGTTGATTGGTTAAACCTGCTAAAAATATCCGATTTAAAAAACGTCATGATAACAGGGGTGTTCACTTTACAGAGGTGTTTACATTCACAGAGGTATTCATATTCGCATGTTTTAGTCTATATCTGAACACATCAAAGCAAACACTTCATTCATGCGCAAAAATGTTACATATTACAGTGAAACTCTGAAGAAGGGAGTTGCAGGATTCTACAACTCACCATTTAAAGTGCCTCATTTCTATATTACAAATGATAATCTTGATCCCCTGTAAATAACTTGAAATTCTAAAATTAGGAGGGAGGGATGGTTTTATGTTCACCTACCAGTGCTTTGCAAGTTTCTCTTCAAACCTCAAATCCATATCTTACTTAGCATCTTCACATGTTCTGGAATTGCAACATTCATAAAAACCAACTAGTAGCGGCTACACCCATTTGAGATTAAAAAATACGAAAGCCTGACCATGGTATGAGAATTGGCATATTTTGACAACAAAATCCTTGAGAGAACTCATATATTTACAGTGAAATAGAGAGAAAATAGCCTAATTTTAGAAATCTCAAAATTAATCATGAATGAAAATATGTGCATTAATAATTTTTAATTCAAATTAAGAAAAGTGTTGAATTACATTATACAAAGTTACTCAGTTTATAATAGAAATCTTATTGAAAAACAGATATGTTACATTTTAGTTTTCTTGCCCTTTTATTTATCCTTGAGCAGTATTACCAGTTACTATATCTAGCATATTTGCACTAAGTGTATATGTACCCGAAGATGTACATTGCCCTGTTAACATATCATCCCATATAATAATTTGAATGTGAATGAATGATTCAATGTTGAAGAATTGAATGATCTGTTATGGTTCATGGTATATCTTGACTGGCTTTTTTGTGCATATGGTCTTATCTCTGATTTTCGTCTGTATTTTTTTTATGTATTCTATTGAAACCATAACCTCATATAGATTTTTTACAGGTGTTCGTGTATGCATGCGATACTAAAATAGGAACCTCTGTTCTTGATTCCAAATACAAATTACCGTGGGTTTTGATAGTTTTTGCCTTGTTTGAGGAAATTGAAATACCACCATGTTACTAGGTGTATGCATTCTTATTGTACATTTCTACTCAGACCCCTTAACCCTACCCCAATATGTTGACTTAAAAACTAAAGAGACCAAAGTAAATGAAGTCTTTATCTTCTTGATAGAAGCGTCTATTTAAAAAATAAAGTCATCAATCTGAAAATCTGATTCTAAAATTAATCTGAAAAAATTCTTTAATTTATTCTTCTCAAGAATGTGCTGAAATGTGCATACAAAAACAACACAATGCTTCAGTGGGCCACAGTAGTGCTAGATTCTTACCACAAATATTTGTCTGGTGATTTATGATACTATTTTTTCATTGCAGAAATGTGTAAAAAGCTTGTTTAGGAGTCTGTCATTTCACATTTATTGCTCAGTAAAGTAATGTAGCCAAATGTACTGTTTCTTTTTTATGACGAACATCCTGTTTGAAATATTGATATTTTGCGAAACTTAAATACATCACCCTGATGCCTGACCTGTTTTCTTATTCACTAATGTTGGTATCAGTCTCGTATATGATATAGCACATGAATGGCATTTTTCATAAAATGTCATGTCTTTTAGAAAATAGCGTTGATGACTATAGACAGATAGTTAAATTGTGATAATATCGACAATCCTAATACCATCATTTTCTTAATTTTGATCAGAAAAGTTTGTATTGATATGTATATGTATTGCAACTATTGTATTTTAGCATTGTTTCAAAGTAGCATTTTCTCTCTAGAGTTGCCTGGTTTTCTCTGTTACAATGGAATTACTTTCCTTGCTGATTTCACTCTTTTTCTCCTTTTTCCATTTTAAATGTGACCTCTATGACATTTTTCTTTCTGATGGAGCTAAGGTCTATTTTAATGAAACATCATCTAAATGTTGTTTACCTCAAAGAATTTTTGTGCCAGGTTTCTGTGGATGGATGATTTTGCCAATTCTAAATACAGCTCTCGGTGAATCAAATTGATTGATTTATCTTAGTTTACATTGACATTTTGTCCAAAAACTGAACTGATGCTATTCAGTGCAACTTGTGTTACAACTGCTTTTTTAGATGTTGTTCCTATTTATTGACTGTTCGTCGTAATTCCATTCTGTTCAATGTTATGTTACCACCAGAAATGGTGACATATTGTTATCGTCACCAGCTTTTTTGTGGATGGTGGTCAGCGGTTGGTGTTCGGCATTCAGTGTCTGTAACAAATGGCAGGTGGTGACATTTTGCATATTAATGCCATGTTTGTCATTGGTTATAATTATTGAATTAAATCACCTATCTATAATACTTGGTATATTTTTTTATATTTTCAGGTATCTAGATGTACACTTACTATGGTAACGGTCTCCTATTTTATCTACTTATACCAGAAGCAGACATCAATGAAAATCGTGACATCAGTTGAGATGCTTACTCTATAATTGAAGCACTTGATGGTTATTCAGGAAAATGAAAGTCATTCCAAATAGACAATACTGGTATGAACATTGCATTCACAACGATCTCTAAATAAGTTGGTTTTAATCGAGCAAGGAATCTTCTAAATGGTTTTCTTTGGAGATCACGATTTCTTTAATGACAACATTTTTTCTGAAAAAGTGTTTTGTGAATTGTTTTGTTTTCTCATTGAAATTACATAATTACATATAAAAACCTTTTCTAGCATTTGAGGAAAACCATGAATTATGTATTGTTTGCAAGATTAGAAAATAAGACTGTCAGAAAAAAATGTTTGGATGTTGCATAATTTGTTACATTAGTTATAATTTAGTCTTAAGATTCATTGATTTTTTTATTTTCTCATAAATGTTATGACTAATTAGCACATGGTTTACAAAAAAACATTCAGTCCTCTCAATTGGAATGTTTTTATGTTTAATGAGGGCTTTTTGAAAATATTCTAATGAAACAGAAAACAAATGAACACATCACAGTGTGAACACCTCTTAATATAAACACCTCATGTAAACACTTGTTGGTCTACATTTTGAGATGTCTGTATGGTATGGGAGGGAACGACACCCGTGTCATCTCCACAATTGTGATATTAAACTTCATTGTTTTATAAACTTCGAAGTTTTATTTTTTTAAATTCTTTTAGTATAAGTTTGTTTTTCAACTTCTATCCTTTACCTTTATTAGCAAAGTCAGCAGATTTTTGCATGTGAAATGAGAGACAGTGTATCAGTCCAATTGCCAATCGAAATTTATGACTTGCTTGGGTTATTCAACATCAACCTTTGGTGAACTCCCATTTCTGAATCCCCTGTATCCGAAAAAGGAAATTCTTTGATCTCTGTAAAACTTTACAAGACGAATAGTTACTTCCGAAAGCCTAATCATAGCATTGGTCAATATTTCCACGTGTCAAAGAATATAGCGACAATTATAGGTATTTGAACATAGCGATACACTTTCACTCATATAGTAGTTAAGCTACCATAGCAACATGTATTGTACATACTAGTTAGCTAGAGTCCATTTCACTGCTTCATTTCGTCAGTAGAACGGCAAAAATAAGAAATTGGGAGACCATTGTGCAATAATATAAAGAAAAGTATATTCATAATGCACATGAATGACATTTGTATATTTCAGATTTTTTAGTTTTTTGTGCAATAAGCCTGTGCCGTCTTGTAATTTGAAGAATTTCAGCCATGTTAATCTTATTGAAAATAACATGGCAGAGAAACATCCAAATATAAGAGGCCACACACTTTATAAGCCAAACTAGAAGCAATCCAAGATATACAAATGTCATTCATGTACATTATGAATATACTTTTCCATATATTATTGCACAATGGTCTCCCAATTTCTTATATTTGCCGTTCTACTGACGAAATGAAGCAGTGAAATGGACTCTAGCTACTTATAAGAGTTTCTTTATTTTAGTTTGTTCAATCAAATATGCACAAAAGTATAATATGTAATACTATATAATTATGCTTGTATAATAAATTGCTATTATATTTATTATTAACGCATCTGTATTCTGTTTGTTTGTGCATGCATTTAGTGATAAACTAAGAAACTATCTGGTTTAAAACATAGTGTAAAGAAGTGTATAAATGTCTAGTCATGGGGACTATTTGTACAAATCATAAAAATAGAAATACAGTAAAACCTGCGAACAGGGAATGCTCTTCGGACTGGAGGAAAGTTTCCTTGTTCAGAGGTTTTCCCTATAGAGAGGGGCCACACTTTCAGCAAACTCAGAATTGTCGAATAAGCATTTTTTTGTATATATTTGGGCATAATTGATTTTACCAATGCCGAGTCCATACTTGGTCGCTAGACCTTGTTGTGACATCTTGAGAGATGTATGAAGGTCTCCCACCTCCCTTCTTTAGCTGAGGGTAAGGAGCATTCTCCGGATGTTTATTTTAGCCGCTGCTGCTGGCGTATGATGTCTAGTTGTTGTAATTGTTGATAGATTTGGCTCAACATGACACATGTACTTATCTGTTATCTCCATAAAACAATTGTGTCAATCCCTAGATTATCACAACTGATTTGATGTAATCATGGGCTTTCAAAGCCCATGATGTAATCATGTTTGTTGAAAGGAAGAATTAGTGTCATGATAATTAGTAACAAACAGATTAGTATTAGTTTTAAAATATATCAGGGTAATTAACAGTGGGTGGGATGCTACATCTTGTAAACAATTGGCTTATCTTAACCTCAGTCATATTAATCCAAGCTTTTTAGAATCAGATATTGGCTTAAGACTTTCACACCTCTGAAAAATAATGGAATATACAGGTGTCACCAATATTCCATATTCCTTGTTCACAGGTGAATTTTCATAATTTGCCCCAAAATAGTGTTCCTTGTTCCCTGTTCACAGGTTTTCCCTACAGAGAGGGTCCGTTAACATGTAAGTCAATGGAAAAATATTTGGTTCTTTTGAAAAGCATTCCTTGTTCATAGGTTTTCCCTACAGAGAGGTATTCCATCGGACAGGTTTTACTGTAGTTCAAATTTGAAATGTAGTTTTCTTTCCATTGGGTCTTTTGGCAAAAACCACTCAGTAGCTTTTTTCCTTGCATGAATTCCTTTCTTGCAGAATTCTGCTGAGTATTAGGGTAGGATATAGAGGTTATCTTCTTGAAGGGATTAGGTATGGGTTTATACCAAGGGCCAATATATGATTTTCTGAGGACCAAATGATGTCAACCATTTTTAATTGACAAATATAAAAAGCAAATAAATTGAAAGTTGCGATAGTTGGATATATACCTTAGATACCCATTTGTAGAAAAAAATTAATCACTCTATTCATGTGTCGCATAATCCATTTGCTAGGTTTTGAGATTAAAAACGTTTAAACGGAGACTACTGATCAAATAACAGAAATTCTCCAAAAAAGTGATTTTTCCTCATAATTAATGTACAATTCATACATTTGATAAATTAATAATGATAATAGCTTACAACTTACAACTTCACCATGACATTTTTGGATTGCGGACAATGTGAGATCCAATATACATATACATATATTGAAAACAATGAACTATTGAACTCACTCCTTCAACTGTAACTCATAAATTGTTAAAATATATTTCATAATGACATGAAATGCTGATGCTCCCCGTTAAAGGTCAAGTTTTTTCAATATTCTGATTTAGCAGGTCAGACCCCATGTGTCTTATTAAATATAGTTTCTCTATACCTGTACGTGTAAAATAAAAAATGAAGTAGTTTTTTATCATCCAAATATTAGTTTTTGGCCACACATTAACCTTGTTGGGATATCTTACATAAATTATAAATCAAACATTTTGCATTGAGATTTGACAGTTTCGATGAACTTAATGCAAAATACATGTTGCTTGGGGTTGTATAAAAAATGAATTTCTTGAAATAATGATCTTAAATTGAGATTTATTAGATGCTTTCTTTCACTGGCTTGTTCACACCGAATATGTAGTTTTAGTTTTATGTTCAAAATATTCAATTTGCATTCAGAGTATTTAGTTTGAATTCAGTATGTTAAGATTACTTTCAAAGTATTAAATCTTGACATAAAGAAGCGTAAAAATAGAACATAACAAAATGGTCATAACTTTGAGACAAAACACCCATATTTTCTAAACTACAAACACTAACTAAACTAAAGATTCAAAATCAATGAAATAGAATAAATGTTCAAATTATTTTTCAACTTTTCTTTAAATAATATTTCAATTTTTGTCCCACTGAATTTACTTTTAATAAATATACAGTATTCCATATTTTGATAAATCCAGTAATATATTGGATCACGTTTCAGAAATTCAGTATCTTGTGTTTGTTTGGTGATTTCACCTTGCTACTCTTTCTCATATTTCATTTTTTGTTAATTTGACAAGAGCTGCACCACTCCTCATATACTCAAGTTGCCCAAGCATTCAATTTGCTATTTTGTTCTGAATGGGTACCTTGTTTTCCTTTATTTGACCCATGAGCAAATGAATAAGAATTGGTACAACTGTTAAAGCTCAACAAATTACTGGACAACAAACCGCAACTTCCTTATTTTTCTTCATTTGACCCATGAGAAGATCAATGGAAATGGGCATATGAATGGAATTGATTCTGGAGGCTCAACAAATGCACAATTCACAACTGGACATGATGACAACAAACCGCAACTTCGTCGAAATCTGTCTAAATTCTGAGTGACTAAAGTTCTTGATTTATTAAACCAGAAATAAAAATCAGATTAATTTAGTTTTAAATGAGAGTATAATTACTGGCTAGTAGTATTTGATATACAGGGATAATAACTGACCAACTTCCTAGACATTATCGTCAAATGTGGTTAACCACAGACTTAACCTTTTGGATTGCTCTTGCTTAAATATTCTGGTGTTCATGTTTAAAATTGCAAAATAAAGGTATAAATGGTGAAATTCATGAAATATTCAGTGAACAGGCATCTTACTCAAGAATCAAGTTTAAAGCGAAAAAGTTAGAAAATTGAAGGTTTCTGCGCATTTAGGGGAAATGTCAAGAAATAATCCTTACCACAGGCTTAACCCCTGCATTTGATTACAGTCAATAATTGTTATGGACATTTGGGTGTTATCTGAAAAAGCATAAAATTCTACACATAATCTTTATTGTTAGCTGCTATAGTCAGGTATATGAGACAGACGAGGCCATTGCCTCACCACCTTTTTAACAAAAATACATTTGTTTACTCATTTTTTTCAACTAAAACTTTAGAGATTACATTCAAAGGTTTATCCTGTAAATATTTCATAACAAAATATTGAAAATTGAAAAAGTTTTCAGGAAAAAGAGAAGGATGATTTGTTCTGTCCTGGCTACTATATACCTCATTAAGTCTAAATTTACCTCACTAATTAATATATACCTCACTAATATTTGCCTCACTAATATTTTAATTTAGGTTATGCCCCTGACT